GTAAGTTTCAGTTATCGATCCCGGGATTTTTAAAAGCAATGTTACGAAATTACAGAATTACTTGGCAATTTGTGAAATGTTGTAACTTCATAATTTTGCATCTTCATAATTTTATGAATTTGCAATTTTGGAATTTTTTACTTCTACAATTTTTTAAATTTGTGGTTCTCGGTTTTGCAAGAATATGAAAGTTACAAAATTCCCCACAATTTCAAATATTTTCTATCTCGCATAAAATACCATACAAATTATTCTGTAATCCCATTAGTTACCTATAATGTATCTAAGGAATTTAATCTCGACGTATTTCTTTCAAATCTTTAAGTCTCTGATTTCTCATTCTGCCAAATTTTAAAATTCGCGAAATCAGATAGACTGGGACGTTGTTCGCGCGTGCCTATCAAATATCTACGTCATGTAACTTCTATTAAACGCACACGGGCGCATTAAGACGAACCGCACCGCCGCATTGCCAATTCACAAAAAATCTCCCTGCACCTGCGCGACGAAGTAGTTTTTCCATTATATTTCATCTTCCACGTTGTTTTTCTTTTTCCTTCCGCTCATTCTGGGCGGAGTGCACGCCGAGTCCCTTTCTCTCCTATCATCCAATCTCAACCACTCTCTACACACGCATACACGCATACATACACTCGTCCACGCTCAGTTCCGTTCGAACAGAACTACTAATTGTTGTACATACAAAGTATCGCTTGCCATTTTTGTTAATTTCGCGCGCGCGCGCGCGCGCGTTTATATGTTGTATACACACGTGTGAGGTTAGTGTTGGGAATCGCAACGCGAACATATCCGCCTCGAAAATGATTTTTCCCTCTTTTACGAATCTCTTTTCTTTAATCACAAACGAACAAATTCGTAACTCGATAAAAATTCGACTAATCGAAAATTTGCCTACTAAAATTTTACCAGTGGACCGTTGAAAGTTAATTAATAATTTTGTAATTGCTATCACGTTCCACGAATAACACCAAAAAATTGCAACGACGCGGAAAAGTTTTGCACGAATCGGCGTTCCTAACCTCAAACAATTTTCAAGGACACTCGTCTACCGAAATCTTTCTTTCTCTTTTTATGTACATAATCTTTTCTTGGCTCGGGCGTCCCATTAAAAAAATTCCTACAGCCGAAAACACGAAAATTTCGAGATTAAGGAACCGTCGACTCCAAGCAAATTCGAAAGTTCCCACGCAAATCGTTCGAACGTATCGCGGGAACGCTTCGAGCGTCGAAAATGAGGAACAACGCCACGAGAAATGTTTTCCTTCAACGCGAATACGCTTCTAAAAAGAATTTCGAAATACAATCGAATTTAACAAATCTAACCTACTAGAATCACAAATGTTTACGCAGAGTGCCCCTGCAAATTCGATTATTAAATTTAATTTAATTTTTACTTTTATCCCTCTTTTACCGATATGAAGATGTCCGCCATTTTAAAATGGCGCCTGTGACAGCGACATCGTGTTATCGATAATTTCTTAAATTAGCTTTCTTACAAACAACTGTCCGATCACAAAGGCGATTTGATTCCCATCACTGTACGCAAAATACCATGTAAATGTGTGTCTGTGTATGTGTGTGTGTAAGCATGTTTGTGTTTGTCTGTGTGCAACCTAGCGAATATATAATATATTGTATATATATAAAACGCTCCAAATAGAAATAATATTTCACTAATTATTAATCGAATACGGAGCAAAAGAACTCCTGTCAAGTTTGTTCTTCTCGATTTCTTCGTTAGTATGCGATTTGTTTTTTTTTTATCGTTTTCTACTAAAACGTACAACAATAATTTTTTTCAGTCTAATACATTCCAAAGCACCAATTCGTTAAAGTCTCGCAATCCAATATGGCCGACACAGTCGAGTGTCTAACAGGCCACGGCTTTCTTTTTCTCGCGTTTCTTTTCGATGCACGCGCTTACACCTACTTAAAAATGAAAATAAGAAGTGAAAAAAGAAAAAATAGAAAAAATGATAAAAAATTGGATAGCCAAAATCCTACGTGTCCATCCTTGCTCTCGACTTAATTTTTACCATCTCACCCCGAATCCTCGGTTTAACAATAATTTCGTTACGTTACGATTAGTATGTATAGTAATTATCGTTACATAGTTGCTAGTAGAAGATACGAGACGCGCTTGAGATTTGCTCTTCGTATGTTTTTATCGAACAAGCGCACGCAGCTTTGAACATCATGTGAAGCACGATCGATCGAGTTCGAGTTGATACAGTTATATAGTTGAGAGGACTAAAAATTTTTTTTCTTTTTCTCTTACGACTAGTAAAACGTAGATTCGAGTCAAGAGACGAATTTACAAGCTAAGAAAAAACGCATGTGCTCGTAGCTCGATTTTGTAAAAGCTAGTATAGTTGTCGTAAAATTTCTAATATAGTTGGTAGTGGCAGCATATACTTGCTTCGATAGTCGTGAAATCCGTTTCGGTCCTCGACGATGAAATATTTTATACTTTTTTCAAGGCTGACGATGATCGATGGTATATAGTCGTTAGTATAGTTCTTGACTATAGTGAATCATCGTCGAATATCGATTACGCGGTTCGAAATCAAACGTTAACCGATCGCAAACGTCTCTCGACGGTAAAAATATCACATACACACGAACAATAACGATTAGTATAGTTGATGGAAATGTTCGAACTACGAGGAAACGACTATACTTGCATCTATATAATGCGATTTGATCTACGCAGACAATTTCCTGTTAAATCGAATTATATGCGCTCAACTATACTTTGCACCCGATTTAGAGCACCGTAATTATGCTTAACAGTCAACTATAGTTACGTGTCTTTTCGATAAATCGCTTATTCCAGAAAATGTTCTCTTAAATCGAATTACACGCGCCCAACTATGGTTCGCACTTCTCTTGGCGCCAAGTAACTATAGTTAATAGTTAAATATAGTTGCACATTTTCCTAAATTTCTTATTCCAGATAAAAAATTTCGCACTAAATTCAATTATGTATGTTTAACTATAATTCACACCCGAGATGCAGCTGTCTAACAATAGTTAACAGTTAACTATAGTTACGTATCTTCTGAATAAACCGCTTGTTTCAAAAATTTCTCACTTAAATCGAATTATATGCGCTCAACTATATTCCACGCTCGATTTAGAGCCCAGTAACTATAATTAACGATTAACTATAGTTGTACATTTTCTCAACCATACTTATTCCAGATACGTTACTCCAATCAAAAATGGCTAGCTGCGGCCTAATATTAAACTTGAAACAACTCCGAGTGCTAACTATTGTCGATTAGAGACCAACTATAAATTATATCGACCGTACTTAATTTTATTTCAATTTCACCAACCGCGTTTTAATAGTTCCATCGCGGAGATATATGTATTTTCATCCGCAAAACTCGAAGGTAAAATTTCAAATCGAGACAACCATATCATCCAACGACAACTATACCTTTTCGCGATCGATCGATCGTACGTGTTTGTTTTCTTTGTATGTGTACGCGTTCTTTCTTTGTGTATGTGTGTATCCGCGTGCATTCTCTGTGATACAAATACAAATGTTAGTGTTAAGTGTTAATAATAATAATAATAATAATAATAATAACAGCGGTAACAGGAGCAATAATAGTAATAAATAGTAGTAATAGTAGTAATAGTAGTAGTAGTAGTAGCAGTAGTAGTAGTAGTAGTAGTAGTAGTAGTAGTAGTAGTAGTAGTAGTAGTAGTAGTAGTAGTAGTAGTAGTAGTAGTAGTAGTAGTAGTAGTAGTAGTAGTAGTAGTAGTAGTAGTAGTAGTAGTAGTAGTAGTAGTAGTAGTAGTAGTAGTAGTAGTAGTAGTAGTAGTAGTAGTAGTAGTAGTAGTAGTAGTAGTAGTAGTAGTAGTAGTAGTAGTAGTAGTAGTAGTAGTAGTAGTAGTAGTAGTAGTAGTAGTAGTAGTAGTAGTAGTAGTAGTAGTAGTAGTAGTAGTAGTAGTAGTAGTAGTAGTAGTAGTAGTAGTAGTAGTAGTAGTAGTAGTAGTAGTAGTAGTAGTAGTAGTAGTAGTAGTAGTAGTAGTAGTAGTAGTAGTAGTAGTAGTAGTAGTAGTAGTAGTAGTAGTAGTAGTAGTAGTAGTAGTAGTAGTAGTAGTAGTAAGTCGACCGGGTGCACATCCGACGAGGGCAGGTCCTACAGTGACAAACAATGACGGTACTCGTTTTAAAAAATTTTCCAACAGTTTGTACGATCATCAGTACTATACACAGTTATTTTTTCACCATATCGCGTCATTTTTCTAATCCTGTTCTCAACCATTTTCCACACGCTTTACCATCACTATGCTGTTCTTCTTATATGCCTAGTAGCGATGTTATTCCATTTTTTTTTTTGTTGTTTCTTTATAATAAATTATAATAAATCAATTGTTGAGTGGTTTGTTGACAGCAATGGTTGATAGTCGATACGCGTGATGAAAATTTTTGTACGTTTGGTGTTAGTAGTGGCAGCCCCGAAAATTTTGTTAGTCGTTTATGGTTGCAGTTATAGTCGCTTGTTAGAAATGATAGTGCATATACTTTGTTATAGTGATCTTATATGAAGTTCTTATACAACACTGACTTATTGCCGTTTTACCGCCACAATTGTTTTCCTTCTCGAATTTCAAGCACGAATTTTACGTCATAAATAAATTCTCTTCAAATAAATGTCAGATCTTTCTTAGAGATTAGCCTTCGCTAGTTATTATTATTTTTTTTCTTTTTTCCTTTTTTGATCGAGCAAATTTCTTAAAATTGCAGAAAAGCATGTTTCGTATAATACGAAAAATCCCAGATTTCGATTTGTTAGTAAATAATACGAGGATCAATTTCACAAAGAATTTCTACGCTATAATTTTCAAAATAATATCAGGACCTTTTAATGGAATTTGGAATTTTATATCATTTTTCGTGAAATTGGTCCAAAAAGGGTTAGTCAAAAATTCCAGAAGGGGTGAAAAACGAAGGCAATAAATTTCGATAAAAATTCTCAGGGCTCCTTACATTTCTCTCTGCCTCTTTCACATTCTCTCGTTTTACAAATAACAATTATGTACAATATAAATCGTATTATTCCACGGATGAGAACAGAAAAAAAAGATGGCGGAGAATATTGTTGCCGTCGACGTTATTATCAAACCCAGAAAAATAATGCATCAAACTACCATAACAAAGTATAATCATTTAACTTTATTTATAATAATCTTCAGCTTATAAGCTTCCTCCGTTTCTTCATTTCTCATCGTTTTTCTACAGCTTCCAATAAATTAGAACGACTCTCTCTCTCTCTCTCTCTCTCTCTCTTAATCTTCGCGATTAATAACAAGAACCTTCCTCACTGTGGCACTCTTACACTCTCGTTCTCGCTCTCTTACACTCATACTCTCGCTTTCTCTCGCAGGGCCGAACGTTGCCTCCAATAAGAAAATACCGTATCTCAACCGTCTGTCGGCTAATTACGAACAAGGACTGTACAGAGTCGTTTCACATCTCACGTACAAGTATCAAGTTACGAATTCATGGTGACTGATTGCCCCCAACCGAACACGTGGTGTTCATGGTGGAGGTTAGAAGGACACGCCGGGCGCTTTCTTACTAGAACTTCAATTTCGCTGACAAGCGAACTTTATGGTTAGAAAGATCATGGAGATTGTATTTATTCTCCACTGTTTCTTTGTTTTGTACTTGTAACAAATGTGGTCTATGAAACCGTTATTTATATATTTTCCGACTTTTCAGATTTGACAGACTTCATAGATTTATAAATTTCTAGACTTTCGCAATATAACCTAGATTTAACAACTTTTAGATTCTGCAGATTTTCACATTGCACATTTTTCCATTGCACAGATTTTTAGACTTTCTTAAGGAACATTCTCCTTATTAATATACACTAACGTTACAAAAAAAAAATCTGTGAAAAATTAAAATTAAAATTCAATGCCAATATTACCATACAATAAACCTACCTACTTCTGCTACTTAGCAAAATTGCGTATTTTTTAAAAACTCAGTGCGTAACCACTTTACTAATTACTAATTGCTATACGATAGCAATTATTACCAATTATTTTCCTAATTTGAAAAATTCATTATTCAAATTACAGCTATTTCCAATGAATAATCAAATAAAACCTTGACATAATTTCTCAACTCATTCCTTCCATCAGTCACCGTGATCACGATCCAAAATCAGGAATATTCTACAAACATCTACATATGTGTAGGGACAGGCAAAAGGGACACCTAGGAGGAGAAACGGACAGATCAGGGTGCTCGGTTGGATAAACAGACAGACAAGAGAGATTGCGGCACGATGCGCATACATATGGTACATAATCAGCGTGTGTAATCTTTCTAGTGTAGGGTGTATGTGTGTCTCTGTATGTGTGCCGTGTGCGCGCGCATACGTGCTGGTGTGGAGTATAAGTGTGGCTCGACACATTTAAAAGGAGTATTATAGTTTGTCCCTTAAAAAACACAGAAACTCGAATCTACGCTTGGCAGTATCATGAACAAATCGTTCGCTCGTACATCGTCAGAAAACTCGAGCGAACGCGCTATATAATATATAGATGTATGTAACGTAATATATACATATATATTTTTTGCATTTTTCATTATCTCGTTTTCGTTAATCGCTTATAATATCTCTAGATGTCGCCAAATGACGCGCGTGGTAGTAGTAGTGTGTCTCCCCTTTGTTCTTAATCCTCCAATTTTTCTCCACTCTGTCATGACTACTTTGTTGAACCATTTTGCAGCAGCGTTCGAGAAAAACGACAACTACGACACATTCAGACAATGAGAAATCGACGTCGACGGTTAACGCCCTTGGCAGTGATCGTAGAATTGCATCTAGTTTTTCTTTCGTTCAAAGTGTTCTGTATGTGTATGTGTGTGTATGTGTATGTGTGTGTATACGCGTGTATGTGCACGGTTGTGTTGCTCTGTATGTGTGTGTACCTGTGTGTGTCCTCTCTTCTTCGCTCGTCGCCCCTCCACTCATACTCCCTTGCATTCTGACTCTTTTATTCTATCTTTCTCTCTTTTCACTTCTCAGCTCACACTTACACACGGAGTAACGTGTGACCGGTTTCTGATTCGCCGAAGGATGCGGTTCACCTTGATTCCCGCCCGATCTTTTTACGTCAAACACGTCCGGTTGAGAGAAAACGTCGCCTAAGGCGAGATGCATATCTCAACGCCGCCATCTGACGGTTGCCGCGCGAACTTCACGGGCACCGTGTCGGGAATCATGGCGAAGATTCTTCGCGCAACGGGGAAGACCCTCGGGGATTCGAGGGTGACTCTAGACGCTACAAACGAAAGAGTGTCGATGACGACCTGCCGTCGACGGTCCGTGACGATTTTTCTGCGCTCCAAGGTACAGGGATCTCCATTCTGAGAATCTAATTTCCGCCATGCCGTTCTCCCATCTAGCAAACTGATCACCACAAATTTCATTTATTGCACGATTTTCGCTTTGGTATTGAACCAGGAGTCCAAGGAGCAATTGTTGTCTCCGATTGTGAATGGTCAAGCTCTGAAATTTTAACGGTATTATCTGTTAGGATACTTTCTTTGCTTTCTCTGTTGAAAGCAATCAAGTTCCATGAAAGAAGAGTCTGAAAAATTCTTAAGGTACGGTTGGTAGCTAAGTATGTTCCATTAACCTGTTCACCAAGTTTTTTAAAGCTGGAAGATTAAAGGTATAAATGTAACCCAAACCACGATTCTGAATAAACATACTATTTTTATAAAGATACCGAATTATATTAAAAAAAAAAAAAAATGAAATATATAATTGTGGACCATACATAGCAAAAAAAAAATCAAAATAAAAGATTAGATAAAGACATTATATCCAAAAAAATTCTCAATTAACAGGTTAAAAAGAAACTATAATGAGCAAGGTTCGATAAATGGCAAAAGCTCATAGCAAGAAACAAGTAACGTAGTCTGGTCAAAGCTTGATCATTCTAACCGAAGTTGATCCCAATTCTCAACTAAACATCAGTCTACATACATACGACACTTACGTATGAGAGAACGACTTTATAAGTCTTCAGCAATGGCGATTTAACTCAGTGAAACATCTTTGCAGGGTCTCCACTGATAATCAGAAGGGAGTAGATTTTATAAGCTGTCGCAGTACGCTTAAATATTAACTCTGTAAGGACTCTAGAGTCCAAACGAACGTGTTAATTCATCATCGACCCGTGGATTCTCAAACACGCTTCTTACCACGAGTCAATGACTGTTAGCTACTTTACAGATGTATACAATAGGCAATGTCATCGTACTTCAAGAAAATCTTTCTGTTCCCATCACATTCTCACTTTATAGCAGAAACGGCGATGTCTAAAACCACTTGGTGTTTTTTCGTGATACAACAAATGCGGTGTATAGGTGTGTGCAAATGTGTCTGGTGTTTCTATACAAGGCCCCTCAGCCTCTACTCATTGCTGGAGCCACTTGTTCTAAAGATTTCTTCATCCAATTATACCGATAGACCGTGATCCTTTTGTTCCCAAATTTGATAACCAATTGGTCATTTTCAGATCCAATCAAATATCCAAATTTGGCTCGCAGCAATGGTCTGAGTCATTGACCGAGTTCCTAAAGGTGTCATCTCATTGATTTTGAAGAACAATGTGAATTACTTCAATGTAGAAGCAACAATCACATTGATGGGCGATGGTGACGATGGTTTGGATATCTTTTTTCTCAGCTTCCAGTAGCTCTGTCTCGCATTTAGCCAGCACTAGGTTCTTTTCACGCTGTTCTGCGGTGTGGCAGTGTATGCCTTACGGCATTAATTTGTAGATCTTTCATCATAGATTCGATGGGACGTGTCGATTGTCCCTGTCCGTGTCAGTTCGATCTGAGGCAACAAGGATGTCGTAACCTAATGGACGTGACTATTGGTGGTGATTATTAGGTCACGTAACTAGTCCCGAGTATCGAACATGAAACCCTCCTCGAGCCCCAAATCGACCAGATCGGAGAAAAACGATATTACCTCGATATAGTAACGTGCCACTTGTATTTTTCGCATCGTTCAACATATAATTGTATAATAGTAAAACACTGTGTCTCTAAGATGTTTCTATTTTTGCTCTAGACGATGTACTAGTAAGTCTTCCTCGTGTCCTTCTATATGTATCCAGTCTCATTTTTCTCGTCATCCTTTTATCCAGATGTTCGTCGCCAAACGTAAATCGCCTGTCAAGTTCGATCACCTGTTCTTCTTTTCTTCTAGACTCGACAAAATTTTGCACGCACGTTATTTATCTTTTTTTTCGCTTTTTTTTCTTTTTGGTTTGCTCATTTAACTTACTACGAAATTACAACTGCGTACGATCAGTTAATAGCATAGAGTTACAGTGTTACAACATTGAGAATCTTAGTGTACAGTGTGGCTCACATTGGTGTCTGTGTGCATGCGCTGTGTCTTTTCAAATTTACCGATTCTCCTGTGAAACCAAGTGCGTGCGCGCGTGTACGTGGTGTGTACGTGTGTCTGTCACTCTCGGTTCGAGTATGAGCCAGCTGAATGTCCTCTGATTATTCTCAGTGCTACTTCATCCAGCCTCCTTCAGCAATCAAAGTGTGTTTTTATGCTAGCATTGTATGTCCCAGGGTCTGGCTAGGCTGTTGTAGACCCAACGTGTCGAAGCGTATCGTCACCCCCTTAAACCAAATTCCGTCTCCAGCTGATCTGGCGCGACCCTGTTCCATGTTTCTCCTTTAGAAAGATCCTTTTTTCCAATTTCTGTCAGTTTCTCGCGAAATCAGCTCTCACCCTTTTCTCTTCAATGTTTTTGTTCATTTACTCCCTCACTCTTACATGCTGATCTTTCTCTCCGTCTAAACGCAATTTAATTATCCCATCTCAGTCACTCCCTCTCTTTCGCTCTTGACTCTCTCACTCTAACTTTCTCTCCCACGTTTGCACAAGATTTACTTAATATTTTGCTTGATTTTGTTGATTTTTTCATCTTTTTTTTATTAAAAAATTAAAACGGACGGTTAAATTTCATATTTTCGTTTTGTCGGTGAGCCGATGTCCGCTGCTGAAGGCACAAGGCTTTGCACTTGAACTCGGTCACCTAGCCTAGCTTCACTGACTTACTACGACCTACTACCAACTAGCCTCGCTTACTTTTACTTTACTTAACGTCCTACATTGCTACTACGCATTTTTTAATTCTCTCTTCCTTCCTTTCCTGCCCCTTTCTCTTGCCAGTTCACGAAAAAGAAAACCCGGACGCGCGCAAATGCCAAGCCTCGTCTTCTGAATATATACCTATTCGTCGCGGAAAAAATTGTTTCCACCATCATCACTCAACGATCAACTTTTCAACCACCACTCTCTCTTCGAACTTTTCTTTCCACGTATAAACAATGTACATGCTAGCAATATATTATTATGCTATGTGTTGTGATATAGACTCTATGGTATCATTATGTATAATCGTATGGTTTGTTATTATTTTTCATCATCATCATCATTATTTTTGTTTCTTCGTTACATCGCACTCGATTCGTGTGTCGGCCGGGCCAGGTCGCTGCTCAACAGCCGGCCGGGCCTACCTCGTCTCTCTCTACCCTTATTTGCTCGCACGAAAATACAAGGAGTGCGATTGTATCCTATCATCAATCGTTTATCATCGTGATTATCTCGTAGTGATCAGTCACATTCTCAGCCGAAAATTGCACACGCATACAATTAAACACACACTCTCTCTCACATTCTTGTCTCTTAGCTCCTCTGGTTACACTCGTACTCGCTTGGTTGCTCTTACAACGCGCCCGCTTCTTTACCTTATTACAATTACACATTATACATTTACATATCGATTCCGGGGGTAGCCAGGTAGAGGATATAGTAATAACATAACTGTAGGTAGCTCCTTATTACAGTCTCTGTACTGTCTCTACATATCACAGCCTGGGTGCCTCGCCACTGCCTTCTTCTTCCTGACTTTTTGTATTATGTATCATCCTCCGCATCTAGCTCCAACTAGCACTGCCGAAATTAGCTCTCCTGCAGCCTTCACGAGGCCGGTGCAGAGCGTAGAGAAGGTGAGAAGCGAATTCTGAACGATCCGGTGCTACTCAAAGACGCCGGCGGTCTATTACTCAGGCAGTGGCATGGTGGTGCACTAGTACAGGAGGTTCTGCACGTCCACGTTCCACGTCTGTCGATGATGCTGTGCTCTGTCAGCTTCATCACTCCAGACGCTGCGCGGACTCGCGATGAAACAACAACGGTGTTAGCCGACGGGGATCGGCTACGGGGGAACTAGGGTGTCACGTCCCAGATCTCAGCGAGGAAAACTGGCAGCTTTTTGTTCTTGAACTTCAAACTGAAGCACATCTCGCTGTTCTGGTTGCCGAGGGTCCGCAGTTCGGTCAACACCGACAGAAGCTTCGCGAAGATCGTGCCGGACTTCGGCCTGCGTCTGTTGTCGACGTAAGCCTTCAACGCCTCCAAGTAGATCTCTTGGATTTTCTCGACTTTCCAGCCTTCCAGCAGGTTCGGTCTCTCTGTAAGAAAATAGGGGGATTCTTTTCTTTGTAGGTTGGGCCCATATTCGTGAACGTTGATGAGGCTGATGTTAGGTTAGTTGTGTTTGCGTGAGTATTAGTCCGAAGGTGTTCCTAATGATCCTGTGTATTGTATAAATAATTGACTGAATTCTTCGTGAATTGATGATGTTTGATGATGTTTGACCGAAGTGATGAGAAATTTGTCCAGATCCAAGATTCGGGTGGTCAAAAATTGATTGTATACGTACCTGAGAATATGACAATGGCAGTCAACAACGCGTATTCGGCATTATTCACTTTCATGGCGTACATCTGCCGGCAGAAGTGTAACAAATCCTCAATCGTCTCGCCCATGCCTGCCACGTTGTAACTGTCCCTGGTATAAGGCTGGTTGTTGGCGAATATTATGCTGTCCGTCTGCACGTCGTACTTCCTCGCCATTCGAAGCATCATCACCTCGCTGGAACAGGCCTTCAGCAGGGCCATCTGATCCTCTCGCATCAACTCGTCGAAGCCAGGTAGCCTCTTCGAGAACTCAACGATCAACTGTACCGTCAGGATCGTGATCTCGGTGATGTGCCTGAATTTATAATCACTGATGTCTTCTCCTTCTGAGGGCTGATTCTGGAACAAAATAGTTATAATTATAGTGTTAAGTTCATCGTCCTTTTTTTTTCTTGCGAGTTCCTTTGAGGATCTTTCTTTTCACAAAAAAAGCATTAAGACTATATTAGAGACTACCGAATGATAGCTTTCATTTAATTTCTTATCCTTAATTCTCCATTAGCAACTTTTCAGTACTATAACAGTTTACACTTAACAAGTTATCTTTAGTCTACTCAGATATGATTTGCAGCATTTTCACCGCGTCTACTTACAGTGATCCTCTTGAGATCCTCTTCACTGGGTTGTTCGTACTCGTTCTGGAAATACACGAGCCTGTGTATCAGCTCCTCTTGCTCCGGGCTGATCGGTTTCACGTAGCCATAGGGGCTGACCGGCGTTAGAATACCGCTGCTACCAGACGTGGACAACGACTCTGCTTCTGCTGGTTCAATCTTCACTCCCATCTGATCGCTGCGTATCCCACTGCCTGGGGAACCGTTCATCGTTGTACTGTTCGGCTTGTCCTTCTCCTGGAACAAAACGTCCCATTCCTGATTGATCCTGAACTACACAGACATCTCTCTATTATTAAATGTTGAATATGAAATGGCCTATTTTGAAAACGTAGACCCTTTCATCCGTAATGGCTTAATATCGTTTGACGATGAACTGTCAACAGCTTACCTTCTGTGCTTTCTTTTCCTTGCGTTTGACAGCACATTGGTATTCAGGCACGACACACTCAGGCCTCATACCCACTGTCAGACACTTCTTCAGTCTGCATTCCTGACATTTGCGCCGCATGTACATATCGATCTCGCAATTATTCCCGTATTTACACTGGTATACCGCGTTCTTGGTGATGCTGCGCCGGAAGAAGCCCTTACAGCCCTCGCAGGTCAGTGCGTTGTAGTGATAACCGGAGGCACGGTCACCACAGACCAGGCACAGTTCCTCCTGCTGCCTCGGGGTCGGTCCTTTCTTCTTCCTGGCGTCACAGCCGTCGCTGCCGCCACCTCCACCGCCCCCTCCGCCTCCACCACCTCCGCCACCACTGCTTCCATAACCGTTCAAAGAGCCAGGCTGCGACAGCTCGTCCCTACCTGCAAACAGATATTGCAAACTAGATTAGAAATTGTTCCTTGCTAGAATTTGAGGTTACGATTGAAGAATAATTTGAATAACCAAAGATTGTTATGAAAATGCTGGTTCTCGTTAAGAAATTCCGGTTTCTCATTAGGATCTGAGTTCCAATGTAGGTTGCTGTAAAATTACTGGTTCTTTTATATATCGGTTGAGTAAGAGTTTATTTGGTCATGTGTTACACACTGGTCGTTAATACCCAAAAATATTGGCTACTAGGGGTAATATGATGCCCCTGTTGTCCTAAATTCCATCAGTAACCCGATCTCTGCGTTCCATAAATAGGTGAGTCTCCGAGTAGTTCCCATGAACGCCTTAGATATTCAGTTTCTAATTGCATGCCAACATTCTGATTAATCTTCATTCGCTAATCAGAAATCATTAAAATCTAGAAGAATCTTAGAAGAATGAAGTTTCTCAAATAAAAACAGCTTCTTGGAAAAATATTATCCTCTTCGTAAACCAAGGAACGTAACAGTGTGTTCGTAAAAAATACTATGAAACATGAAAACCTGTATTCTCAAAATATTATTTTATCCTAACCTTACATGGACCTAACCTTAAAAAAAAATCTCATTTACCGATCAAAGATTTGCAATGGGCCTAGACTGAGACTCGAACAAGCCAAAAATTGAAGGTCTCTCGATTTGAACAAACTCAATGGTGACAAGGTGATTTGATCCGTCGACGACGAGTTCCTCGCGAGGTTTCCGGTGATTACTTGGCGCGTTACGCCGCGGCTGGTGCGCGCGTGTAACGCCCGTGACTCGTTCGGCCGCGAGCAAGCGGGTTCCAGTAACCTACGTGGCGACATCGCCTCTATTACCTCCTTTATCCGTGAAACTTGTCGAATGGAACGCCGCGCGGTAGAAGTCACGGTCGGTGAAAGTACGCGGTGCGCTCTGCACGCACGCGCCTTCCTCTAGCGAGGCGGAATCGAGCGCCGCGTGGCTTTTGCCTCAACGGGAACTCGATTTACAGTGCCACTAATAGAACAAGTAGAATAGTACCACGATAATTATTCTTCGAGACGTAGAATGTACAATTGTTGTTGAATAATTTGGTACCATGACCAAAATTAGATTCTGATCAATATCATGGGTTGCAGTGTAAGTTGGAAGTATGCAGTATTCGAAGACCAGACTATTTAATTTTCTATTCTATGCTATGGATAATTTTGGTGGAAGTAATTTAATTCTGCTTAAAATACCGCTTCTAATGAATTATTGTGTCTAATAGTGCGACCGAATCGAAGAGGATATTTCATAGAAACAGTCAGAATAGTTCGAGTCACTGGACAACATTTTATTCCTTTTTGTGGTTATCCACAGTGGTCACAATTTTTTATCTATTTCTTGTCTAACGCTTCTAAGTCTGTGCGTTTTAAAAAAAAAACACATGAAAGAGGCTGAAGAATTTACAAGGATTCTATAGAGAATTTAAAATACAAAATCACTAATTATGTAATATAATTATTATAAAGTAACATGACATTCTAATCTCAGACTAAATATCAGACTCAATGATATATTGAGAATTAAATATTGGATATTATATGGAACGATCGAAGCTGCATTTTTTTTCTTCCTGAGCTTTCCTTTAAAGTAACCGAGTTGTTCATCGATCGAGAGACCGAGAAAGGAAATGTCGCTTCGATTTTCTCCTGTTGCGAAAAGCGAACGTGTTCTCTCTCCTTCTTACTGATTCTGCGACGAGAAGCTTGGAGACGGGTTCCTCAGATCACCCGGAAGTACTGATCAGCGTGAAAACATCCGCCTGGAACACTGAGACACTGACCGGGCTAGGTGGTCACTCGGTTATTACCCCTTCTTCATCGTCCTCTCATCTCAACTCGCAATCTTTTCGCTGCCGATATCTTCATTTCTCCTCTTCTTTTCATCTTTTTGCTTTCTTCCAGACTTTCTTTCTCTTCTCATAAATTTCCTGCCTTTCACACGAGTTTCTGCCTTTGGGAAACATTTTCTGACACTTTTCCGCGCGATACAATATTCTGGTTCGTTAATTCTTAATATCTAAGCGGGCTGTTCTTCAAAGTTTCGTATCTTTCGAAAAAGTTACTAAATCAGGCGGTATTAAGGATACTTTAGATTTGAATTTTTCAGCAATTTCCTGTAACATGTGACATTTCGATTCATACATTCTGGAAATTTAACTAGGGTGCTTGAAGGTTTCGTATCTTTCGAAATAAAGTTACTAGATCGTAGCTACGCGTCAACTAGACTTTCCAGATATTGGATAATATTAAAAACTCCTAGCTTATAATATCCATAGCAATTTTACTATAAATATTCGCTACAAATGGACAACGTTAGTTCCCTTTCGTTTTATACTAGGAATATACCGTTGCAACATTTTAATTAGTACGCCTGAATGAGGGTACTGTCATTAATCAAATAAAAAACGTTCATCTGAAAATGTCTAGTTTATCATGAAGTTGGTACAGTTCTTACGGTTTGCAGAACGTCTGAAAAATGATTCGCTGGTAATAAATCGGTGAAACTTGGCGAGAGAAGTTCGCGGCAATCCTCTAGGAACTAGATCCAGAGATCTGGACGCACGGGAGAAACTGCAGGCTAATAAATTACCGGTATGACCTGACACTGGCACAAAACTGATACCAACGTCTGGTTTGTGTACATATTAGCAAGTAGCACATAACGATTCTATGTAGAGCGAGCAGGCTTCTCGTTTCAGTGCCCCAAACAGGTTTCCTCGCTACTTAACACTGGTTCGCTCTTGCTGGTATTCTTGATAGTTTCTTCCTCCGCGATGTTGTCAAAATATAATTCAACGTTGGTTCAATTTAATCGACGCTTGTACCGGGATTCAGTGGAAAATGAAAATATCCCTAGATTTTCGAACAATACCTCGCAGACTAAATTTGATTTAATATTCGTCTATGAATTAATTAAGAATGGAGTAATTAACATATTTAAGAATCACTCGAGAAGATCTGGTTGCTAAATTTGTTAGATCTAGATCTTCGTTACGAGCTACCAAAATAGGAGTTAGTTTACTCGTAATAAGTTCTTCGTATGAACTATATCTTTATATCGCTGTTACAGATCTAGTAAAAAATAATGGAGTTATAAAACTTCTTTGGATCTAACGAAAATCTACTGTTTTTGTGGTCAAAACGTAGCAATTAATCTCCTAATAAGAAGGTTTCTTTTAAAACTAAGTTTCTTAACCTTGAGTCTTGGAATATTCATTAAAAACTGATTTACTTTTTAGGTTAGAATCACTTCGAAAGATCAGTTACCGAATAATAAAACATTAGAACTTGAAATATTTGAAGTATACGAAAAAATATGCGAGAATTTTTATAGCAAGGCAGCTTTCTTGCTGCTGACCTTGACACTGACTTCTTTCCACCAAGCCTGTATATTTATAGAGTGCAAGATGGGGAATTTAGAGACCGAGGAAGAGTCTGGAATTTCTCAGTGTGACTAAACAGTTTGAGAGTTCGTATGGCAATGACTTTTTGGTCGTTTCCTGAATATAAAACAAAACGTCGATCCCTATTTAAAATTCCCTATACCTCCTATATTTCTTACGTTTCTCCTTGGAATTTCGATAAATTCGTATGAAGATTCGTATGAAGTAGTTTGAAACTCGTTTAGAATTTGAATGATGAACAAAATTTGATGAAACTCGGAGTTCGTTTATTTGGTAATACCAAACGTTCTAGATTCCTTCCTGGAATTCCTAAACAGAGTTTCGAAGACCCTGAAGCTCCGACGTGCCACAGCGACTTGATCATACATGCAGTGGCACAGTGAACTCATCTAGAAGTTTATTTCAAACTTGTAACGCGAAATTGCTTTTCGAAATTCTTCGTTTGCCGGACGAAAATTGGCTAGTGTTCGCTATATGAAATTCCCTAGAATCTCAGTAATAACTAGTATTATAGTCTATTCGATATCACGTTTATTATTAAATTTCTAATTTTTATTTATTGCGGCGAATATTTTGTTGAATATTTCTCTAGAGAAGTTGTTGTTGAGTTGTCGAGAAGTTTGAAACGATAAATATAGACAACTAGGATTAATCCTAAATATTTTCCAAAAGTAATTTTTAAGTAACTAAGAAGTTTAAAAGTTTGCAACTATGGAGAAACTTAATCACGATTAAATCACTTTCTACTGCAGGATGCTTATAAAGTATAAAATGTAGTGGAAACTGCACAGTTTACGGTGAAGTAGATTTCATAAGCTACAGTATCTACCAGACTGAATACAGTTAACATTGAACGTTCACGTCAGAGCGCAAATGTACCATAGAAATTGCCATCGACCTATCTATTACACAATCTTTGAGGATCTTGACTACAGAAAGCTATCTTTGCAATGATCAAATTTCAAATCAATCTTAAAAGAAGAAATTTCCAGAAAGATTAGCAACGAGCTTTTCATTATCTTAAAAACTGTTAAACCTGCAAACATTGAGATCCAGAAACCCTAATTATAATCGTCACCAAATTTTCCCCATTATCTGCCGCAGAATAAATCTGTCGAAAAAAGAGAAAAGAAAGCATAAATCAAGAACAATTCTACCCAGAGGGCATAAATTAACGACTAATCTGCCCGCAACTACCTAAAAATCCAATGTCCATAAATCACATAAAAATCCAGATATAGGCAAACCTAATAAACTAGAGGAAACCCGATCGTACCTTACTGCAGAATCTAGGGGACATCAAGCAGAAGTTACTCGCACAAAGGATAAACTTGCCCAGAAATACTTAAAAAGTTAGTCTCCAAAGGCTTTCCTATACGTCAAACAGAGACAAATGCAGTAAATGGCCAAGAAAGCTGAATCGTAGTGGGTTTCTTCAGAATTCAGAGGACGTCAGCTCAATATTACCTACATAGAAACCAAATCTGTCCCAAAATACCTAAAAATTCAATCTTTTCTATATAGCAAACACAAACAGACA